TTTTATATAATGTCCGGGCCAACAGGCTTATTGGCGTTAGTGAAATGTGCAAATCTAGATAGCGCTTACTCTTATTTACATATACATATGCATTGGTAATGGCAAGCAAACATTGTTAACCTGATATAAATACATAAAGAATAAGTGAAAACACCACAACACTTGAATTAATCATTTTGTCAAGCTTCTGCATTCACGTTCCATCAGATGTCACAGCTGCTGTTTGCGGTGACATCTATCGGAAACTAGACACAATCTGTTTTCCTATAATTGTTCACAGAGGACACTGCAGTGCAAAACCTGTCTGGTACCTCTATATATGCATTTAGATTATTATTCGAAGTCCCTCCTTTTTTACACATTCTGCACACAAAATAGCTCACCTCTCACAGAATTTCCCGCCGAATTTTATGTATGGGGCGGGGCATAAAGTATCTTTTGCGCAGAATATGTAAAAAAGGAGGGACTTCAAATGTTAAAGCAAATGCATATATAGAGGTACCAGACATGTTTTGTAGTGTCAGGTACTCTATTTTGTAATCTGTGAAAGGGAAATCACAAATCGAGTGTCAACAAAATACATGGCATGTTGAGAGATTGAGCTTGTGAGAGAGAATTTCTCTCTTAAATTTGAATATTTTTTTGGCTCTCTGGGACTGGTAGTAAAGCAGGTAAAGTTGTATGGGGAAAAATTATTTTTATTTAATTGTAGCTTGTTTAACAATAATTTCCGGGAAAAAAATTAACGACGAAAGTCCCTGATTAATTTCTTTAGGTTGTCGTTCGCTTTTTTTTTCACCTGAATGTGCACCGGAAGCGAATTATTCCCACTTCTCTCAATTTCTATATGGGGATTTTTATCACTTCCTACCAGCGGAACAGCGCCATCTCTGTGGAAAATGGTCGAACAAAATGATTAATTGGAATCCAAAAAACTCTGCAAAAGGTTGATGGTAACAAACCATCAGGAAAAAGAACGTAAACATTGAGGCGAAACCGACAATGTCAAAAGCTAGCAGGTGAAACATGGGGGCGAAATGGCTTCTGTGAACGCAGCCGGGCGAATTACCTCGGGGCGATACAAGATACTATAAATCGAAAGGGCGCATGCAACATTTTCATTTTTTTTTTCAAGCTGTAAATACAAATAGGGGAAAAGTTGGCTTCGGCAATACCTTAACCTATTATCGTCAGGGGGTAAACAACGTCCTTGAGAGTTCAATTTTGGCATGGTGGATACATTGTGTTTCAGAGCAGCTATTGGCCAAATTTGAGTGCTCTAGGACTTTGTTTACCCCCTGACGATAATAGGTTAGGGTATTGCCGAAGCCAACATTTCCCCTTATAATATTTTTATTGATCTCACAATAATCGAAGAAAACATATCGCGTCATCTGTCGCGCAAAGGTAAATGCTTCAAACGTATTTGATAGCAAAGATTACAACCTCAGAAGAAAGGTTTGTGTATTTCTAGATAGAGCTGGAATTAGGGCGTAACAGCCTTTGGCAAATTGACATCACCAACGAGTATAGGGGATGACTTCCGCTACTCGATGGATATGTTGGTTTGTGTAGGCGTGCATTGAATTCCTAGAAATCAACGAGAGAAGGCATTTTTTACAAAGGCTGTTACGCACGAATTCCAGCTCTATCGAGATTTGCTCATTTTTCCATGTTAACCAATAGGTTATAATAATTAGAAATAGTACAGTTTTTGAGATGGCTTTATAGATTATTTTATATTTAATTATTCTTGTTCAAAATTTCAGATTTCTTTTCCTTAGTTCAAGCCCATTACGACATTGGCCCTTATTCCAACTCTATCTAGAAATGTTTATTGATGTTCGTATTCCATTGCAATGTTTATTACATGTTATTACACGAAACAGCTGTTAGCAGTGACGTGAATTTCACTGTTCGCAGTATGGAATGTTATGGTAGAGTGACGTCGTCACTTGAGTGCTCAGCAATATTTACAATATTTTTGCTTCTATCACCAGCAAGCTGCCTGTTGGCCCGGTCCTAATAAAAACGTCATTGGTTTTTTATATGAAATGATGTTTTTCAAGTTTTCAATAAATATTAAAGTTTGTCTTAACAAAATATTACTTAAGTCCATTCGAGGATTTAGCTCCAGACGAATCTAGAACCACACTACCGTTCATACTGGCGACATCACTCTGATGAGACAACGAAACCCTACCCCCAAGCTCCTCTCCTTTTCCTATCCTTCTACAGTGTACCCCTCTAACCTCGGGTAAGCCGCGAGTAATCGGCCCAACTCCTACTTGACATAGAATTAAGTGAATTTTGTTACAAAAGCACAATGAATTATCGGCTCCGTAAAGCTAACGCGATTGAGCCTTACAAATAAACGAACTAGATAAAAAAAAAAGTCCATTCGAGGCAATATGAGCACCACTGATATTTAAAACATTTGGTCCTTAAATTCTTAAATTTTGTATTATTCCCTTTATAAATACGACTGTATCATATGAAATCACGTTTTGAAGCAACTGTTATGGTCATTCACAAGACTGAAAAAATAGCCTTAAATAGACAGTAGGTACTTCTTAAATTTAATTTATTCTAAAGAGCAGAATTCATTCGAATTTTCCACTGAATTTGTGATTTTCTTAACGAGGCGAAACTATAGTCGCTATATTCATAGTCTGGCGGATAGAATCTCGGGAACCAATTGAGCTGTCAAATAGCGGAACCAATCGAACAAATCACGACCAACAACAGAAAAGAGCGCACCAGCTATTGCGAACAAAATTTCGGAAAACGTTTTCTCGTGACTCAAGGCTCGCCTACACAAACTAACACCATCTTTAGGTTGTGGAAAGTTTCCCCTATCTGATAATGCTGGTAATTTACCTTCAATTGGCGAGGAAAGAATAATCAACGTTCGGTTTATAAAAGTTGATAGCACCTTTTCAATTGATGGTTACAATATATTGAATTGGTTCAATATATGAATATAGCGACTATAGGCGAAGCTAACCCACTTTCCTCTACATCAATAATACACTGGTGGAAATAAATATAAAGACACTTTCAAAAGCATGGCTCCTCCCAAATCTAAAGGCTGGCGCACAATGCATAAGTTTCTGAGTTTTTTGACAGATAATGCATGGGCTAACTATCAAAAAGCCTGAAAACTTATCCATTGTGCGGCGGCCTTAAGAATCAGAGGAATTCTAAATCATGTGTGTTTAAAAGCCACATTATCATGCTACAATAAGAGCTCAATAAAGAACCAATGTGCGAATTACTTTTTCGAAGGGACGTATGGCTTTTGTAAAAAATGCAACTGATCGTCGATTTTGCGTAGCTAGTAGCTCGCCCACGCATACTAACACCACTATCAGATAGGGGAAAATTTCTACGGTCTACGGTCCATACAAATTTCCAAAAAAATGTATGGACCATTGTCTACGCGGGGGAGGGGTGGGGTGGTATAAAACCTCTAAAAATCGGTCAACATAGTTTATGAACAGCCCCTTAGTGATATTAGTGATTTTTTTTTTAAATAAACGTTGAATTTGATATTTCCTTAACTGTGTCAAATATAGTACATTAGTGGAACTTGCTTCTCTGCAGTAATCACTGAGCAGCACAAAGTGGATCGTAATTTTTGTTCCCAACAAAATGCATAGTGGTAAAATAAATTGAATCAGAAAAATCGTCCGTGATTCATGATCCGAAGTTCAATGACTAATGAGTAAGAGAAAATATCTTTACCTACGATCAATTTGAAACGATTTTAAATTGGAAACCTGCACAGCTTTTTGTATTTGTTCGTTGCTTTCCTTTTATTTAAATATTCATGATAAAACAATTTGTGAGTTTCAAGATTTTAGAGAAAAAAGAGACCCAACCCGGAATAGTGACAGAAAATCACACATCTTTGCCAATAGCGTTTTCGTCAATATTGAATGCTACTTTGATATCGAGGACTTTGTGCTCGTTAAATAAGAATTTTCCGCATCATGCAAAGGAACCCACTCAGAAGTTCAAACCCTCAGAGCTCTCATATTTTTTGCTGATATTATAACACACTTCTCTCCAAACATGACAAACAAGCGCGTTTTCACTTATTAAAAAGTGTGAAAAAATGCACTTTTACATAAAATCGTTAAGTTGTCTTCGGTGTACTTATTCCTTATGAGGCAAGCAATAAGTACTCCGAAGATAACAAAACGATTTGACGTCAACTTGCCCTTTTATCACACTTTCTGCATTTTTAAAGCAATCCAGTTTAAGTTGCAACAAACAATACAAAACAAACAAGCTTCACCGCAACTAGTTTAAACAGGACAAATCAATATATTTATAGCTTTTTGCATGTGAGACATAGATATGCAGTCTAATCTACAATTATTAGGAACGTTTGATTTATAAGAAAAAGATTTATAACAATCGATTTTTGATTTTTTTTTTCACTCAACTTTGCCTGAGTCATCGAAATTAGATACAGAACGTTGTTGGCCTATCCTTCTGGCGTATCACAACCCACCATTGTATATATTAGCTGCTGTGCCTGATGTCTCAGAAATTATTCACCCCGAAAGCCACTGCTGCAGCGTTTGGCAGCTCTGGTTGTGTGCCACAAACACCCAGAGACCAGTTACTCGCGCACACACACCACCAGGCAGCATACATTTTCTGCTGGCTGATGTAGTCACGAAGCGAGAGCCCCGTTATTGAAGGTTTTTCTTCTTTTACCACGGTAGGAAAAAGAGTATTAAAAATTGCACAATCTTCATTTTTGCAGCCCCTCGGTTGCGTTTTTTTGGAAGCATCCAGAATTTTTCCCTGATTTTTGAGAACAATGTGCTATTTCGTTGCTTGGCCAAACACACCACACCAGGAGTAAAAAGAGGGGTACGTTCGAAGCCGGAACCCGTACACCAGTAGCAATTGGTGAGACCCAACCTTAACCCCATTCGCACGGTGACGAAGGAATGGTTGTCTCTACTAGTAGGAAAACTTACCTTGTTAATTCTTTTTAACGCCATCTGTACTGCGGTGTGGAGTAACCTCCGCTCTGTGGGAGTGTTTTTCTTGGTAAAAACCGACGAAAATTCGCTTTTCTGCAGCAAATTTGGAAATCTCCTGCCTGCTAGCTCGCTGCTTCTATTTCACACTCGATAGGAAAAAGTCCGTCTGCTTCAGCTTCTTTGCTAACTTCTTCTTCCCCTATTGGCTCTTGCGATACTCACGCACACACGCACCCAGAATTCACAAAGGGGGAGAGCAGTGAAAAAGAACCGAAGAAAACTGAAACGAGAAAACGAATGTGTCCGTGTATGGGGATTCGGTTCTCCTGCCTGCCTAGTTTCTTCTAGAGCAGAAAACGAACAATTTCGGCTCGATTCCGCGTTTGTTTAGGTAATCACTTCAAGCCGTGAATCTAGGGAAATTAAATCAACGAGAAATATTTCCGCGAACGCGAACTGTCTTTTGAATGAGGACGAAAAAATACTCTTCCGAAATCGGTGCAAACCAGGCCGACGAAAACGTATTACAAGATGGCTACGGTTTTTCCTCTTCCTTGCCTTGCTTGATGGTTTCGCTGTCGCTCCACTCGCTCGATTCGATGACGACTCCCTCCGATACTTCAAAAAATAGTTTTTTTTTTTCACTCACGTCGTAGCACACTGACAGTTTTGCCACACTGGCTGATTCATTGACAGATAAACGATAGATCTGTCATCATTTTGCGCACAAAGCGCACAAACGAAGAGCAGAAAAAACAAGCGAGGTTCCCTGAGTGACTACGGAAGTCAAGTTGATTGAAAACCGTGCACAAGGCAACGGGAGTTCTTCTCTCACTGAGCAAATATGATTTTTCTCTCGGACCAAACGCAATGGAGATCAGTGTTGCCAGTTTTATATAACTGCTATCAAAACCAAAACATAAACCCCAAGCCCATTAACAGCAAAACACTTGAATTTGTTGACTTTAATAGCAAATCGTTATATTTTTTTTAATATCATGAAAGGGCATACCGAATTTGATCTTATCATAGGAGCTTAACTTCACATTAGTTAGATTTACTATTGACATGAATTTCATTGAATATAAAAAAATAATAAATTAAAACAAACTTGACTAGATAAGCAATATTGACTATCGTAAATTGAACTTTCTGACGTTTGTAACACGCACACTTGCGTAATTCAATTGTCAAGTGCGAAGTTTGTTATCCTCATTTTCGCTCCAGCCAAAAATGTTGATTTGGTATTTTTATCCTAACTTTCGGACTATCAATACTCGTGCGTATAGAATGGACTATTACGCACTTACAACAAAGTTGATAATATATTATAGCCATGCATAACCCTATTTTATTCCTTGATTTTTTCCGTCGATCTTGTTTTTCGTGCTGAGCACCAATGCTACCGACGCCAGGGAGGCAGCCATTGTTCGGAATCATCACACATATTATTTATTATGTCGCTAAGTAGACAAAATAATTAACAACAAAACTATAATGTCAGGACAAAGTGTACAAGATACGTCCTAATTTAATGATGCATAACAAAGCAAAAGTATGCCAAAACGTTTTATATTACCGTAATTCGAAACAGGGGTTATCGATGAAATAAACTTCCAAGTTAATGAGATATGAAGAATCACTGCTCAATGAATGATTAGCGAACAAATAAAAAATTCTACTAATTATCCATATTTCAGATGATTAAGAAAGACCAGGGCATTGCACAACTGATGTTAGATTCTAAAAAAAAACAGTTTTTCGTAATGTTGTCTTTCACTTTGAAAGCTTCAAATAATTCTAAGCTGAGGCCACATTTATCAGGTCTCAAGTGCAGGAGCTACACTCCAGGAGACGACGAGAAAAAAAAACTACCCACAGGCCCCAAGCAGCTCCCGGCTGTTTTTTCTTACAAACAGTTCATATGAAATTCACTTCGTTCGTCTTCAATGAGGCCATGCATTCTTCAAAAAGTACTATAAAGCAGGACACTAAGTGGCAATAAATGGTAAATGATTAACCAATTCGAATGACGAACTGTTTAAACATTTTTCGCTAATCAATTGCCTCATTTTGATGACGGTTTAAGAATGACTGTCATAAAATTTATGCAAAATGTGTATGGTTAACCATAATTGGTTAAGTGGACCCTACACGACTGTTTGTATTGACAATAATCGTATTGTCAATATATTCTATATTGACGTCAATACATCGGTATTGACAATATTTTTGTATTCACATCATCAATATTATTGTCAATACTTGTAAGTATTGACAATATTTCTTACCGTGTGGGGTTTGCTTTAATCTTGAATGCCCTGATATAATCCAATGAGATTCTTCAGCCATTCCCACTCTTTCTAAGTAGGTACAGCTATATAAATGAATTTCGTGTTTGCATTGCTAGATAGTTAATTTCTTGTTTTGTAACATAACAACATGACGATAACTTGATTTATGGCATTATTTTATATATTCGATGCACGTAATAAATTTATTTATTAAATTTCACGTGACATGCGATCAGTGCTGCAAAATTTCGACAATACACGGTGATACTCAAAATTCTGCTTTGGTCACTCGTTTGAGCTAACAGTCATCGTCAAGGCAAACCATGTCAATTGTCAGTAGCATTTTAGTCAGTGACGAACATGTGCTGATTTGTTTATTAGCTAAATTTGAAATGAAATTAAATGGCTTGAGCAAAACAATTACATGGAGCCATTAAAGTGAATAAGCATCTACGTCCTGAACCGCTTGGATAACAATAATGTGTCTCAGAATGCAAGAAATTACACTTTCTGTTACCAGGTGAATCTTTGTCATTGACGAAAAAATGAATGAGATTTTGACAAAGATTTTATTGAGGATCAAGTCTATCATTGACTATGTGAAAAACAATTTTGTCAATATCGCGCAAAAGTCTGTCAATGACAATGACAAATCTCAGCACTGCATGCGATGCTTAAATTTCTTAACATTCATAATATTTATTAAGGATTGATTTTGATCAAATGCCCTAAATAGTTCGCATGTGAACATAACTACATATGTAACTGGCAACACTGATATTTTCTCCAGTCACTCACCTCTCTCTTTAACTCAGTCGTCATCGACCATCTTGCGCTGCGAGCTCACCGACCGATTCGGTCGGCACTGCTCTTTTCATGCACTCACGAGTCACGACGGAATGGAACCCTTATCGCCCCTTGAAGAGGAAAATCGCATACTATCAATTTTAGAGGAAAGACCGTAACCAAATATATTCCGTTCTGCGACTGATAATTTTGCACTCGAATTATTTCTGCTACTTTTCACTACACAATGAAATAAGTAATCACCAGAAAATCTGCCTGTATCGCACTAGAACGATCTCCAGCAGATCCACGAAAACTTCTTCCACACAACACCTTCTGACTACGAAATGTAGAATGAGTAGCTCTTTCTCGTACGTCGTACTCAACAAGGACTGAGCGCTCACGTCTATGCCCAGTGGATTAGGGTTGATTCGAATGAACGCTGGGAAACATGAAGCAAGGCTAACACAAAACATGTGAGAATGATAACAAGTAGTTTATTCCCACCATTGCACAATGGGGTATTTTCTTATTCCAGCGGGCCAAAAATATAAAACCACCCCAACTCACCAAAAGCACTCTCGGATAAACTCAACATAATTTTAAAATTGGTTCGTTTATTTACTAGGCTCAGTCGTGTGTGACACTTTGCGGTGCCAAAAAACAGGAATGTTTGAATTTACATTTTAAACAGCAGTAGTTCTAGGTTATTATTGGGTACCAATTACTCGTGACGGGCTCGAGGTTAATGGGTAACAATTTCGATTGGAAGGAGCTCCCTTCAGATACTACTCTCGGACGGTTGACCAAATCCTGGCTGGGCAGGGGCAATATTAGCACAGAAACAGGAGGATAATAAGACTGGGACTACATAACATATGTGGAACTGCATGCAAAATAACTTTCTAAAAGTTGACCCCTTTTTGTATTGCCTTTTTATTTTGAACATGCTTCAAATGTTTGAAAGAAACATACTTAATTTTAAATTATATTAGCATTCGAATGTAGGATAAAGCAAAAAAAAAGTTGGAAGGGTTGTATACTAGATACGACCGCAGGGTTGGCGTTGGATAACGTCTGTTATGTGTTGTACTTAATTGTGTATATTATATTTTAGGAATATTCCTTAATAACTCTTTTGCGAAAGTTTGGTGGTCCTGTAAAGGGCCGTTTTGATGGGCTGATGTTGTTGACAATGATGGAACGAACGACCTTGTTAGACGCTTATATAGTAGAACAGAAAATATCAGAGGTGTCAGATACTCGCATACGTACGTTAAACCACAAACGAAGTGACAGACGGAGCGGCTCGAAAACTTTGGTGACTAACCTTCTATTGCATTCAAAGTGTTTTTTATGTTACTTCATACGCGAAGTTAACGATTTTCAGAGTTGGTTGGAAATGCTAACATGAAGCTTTAGTGTGATGATTTATTAGTTAGAGAATGATCTTTAGAAGAGGGTAGGTAGATAGTTCCGTTAGAGTACGGCAGTATGAAAATTGAATAGAAGTTGAAAATGAGCGAAGGGCCATTAAAGCGACAGTTTTCAAGATAGACGCACATTTTTGCCTAGCCCGTACGATGTACGCATGCACATTTTTGCCTGTGGACTTGGAGACATACTTCAAGTCCCCGCGTACATCGTACGGGCTAGGCAAAAATGTGCGTCTATCTTGAAAACTGTCGCTTTAATGGCCCTTCGCTCATTTTCAACTTCTATTCAATTTTCATACTGCCGTACTCTAACGGAACTATCCACCTACCCTCTTCTAAAGATCATTCTCTAACTAATAAATCATCACACTAAAGCTTCATGTTAGCATTTCCAACCAACTCCTTCTATTGCAATTTTTCAGTGTACCACATGGCAACACCACTACTACTGGATTGTACCAATGGCAACACTACTATTGGATTGAACTAGCATTTTCACCAAATGTACTAGAATATTTTGGTTCTATCTCTTTCACTCTACTCAAAACTGAAATGCATAAAAAAATTACAAAATGATACGCACTCTTTGCACACTGTCAAAGAATCATTGTACACAAAATCAACTTTGTTCAAATAAAAACAAAAAAACTAACCCATCTGGTGGATGATGGCACAAGCTTCCAAGAAAATTCTATTACAGTGAACCACATTATTTTAATGGATTTCTTCGCCAGTAAGTCGTCTGTCACTTCGTTTGTGGTTAAACTCTTTCTTGATAATGTTGTGGCCCTGAGAACTGCAGCAGCTGGGCATTCCATGACGGCGGCCCAGTATACCGGAGCACTGGCACCAACGCACTCGGCGTAGTTGCCCTTTCACCCCCAGGCTTTGCTGCCGTTGCTCTGCTTCCGCTGCTCTGGTACTGCTGCTCTGCTGCTGGGTCGACGAACGGATAGACAATGATGGAACGGGCGACCTTGTTGGACGCTTATATAGTAGAACAGAAAATATCAGAGGTGTCAGATACTCGCATCTGATGTCTCGGTTGGAGAAAGTATAAGAATATAAAAAAAATCAATTGATTTTCA